ATTATTAAAAATACTGATCTTGATCACATGAAAGAATATTTTTCTGGTACGTAGTGTAGAAACAAAATCTCATGATGATGAGCTATTTTAATTAAGTTACCTTTGGTAAAGAAAAATTAAAAAACCAACCGGGTTGGTTCAAGTGGTAAACAGCTTGATGTCGCTTAATTAAGGTTTTGAGTTCGAGTCTTTATAGATGCTGAAAATGCTTGTAGGGGGACTCACCCACAATTATCAGGTGTACGATCCGAATCGATCAACGGATTAGTCGGGATATAGCTCTGAATACCGTAATTGGGTACAAAAAAGAAAATAATTAGAAAAGGGTCGCGGGGAAATTCTTTGATTATATGTCCCAATAATGTTGAAAAAGATTGGCAATCATGTCCTTGTTGTCGGCAAAAGATGGGATTTTTCTTACTGTTCTTTTTATTCTTTTGTGGACTTACTATGAGGAATGTGGTCATGTTGACTAGTCACCAGCAGCCACTCCATGTTTGAAACAAATGAAAAACTTATTCTAACATAATATTTTTGTCGAAATTTTGCGAAATTCTAATTGAAATAATAATAATAAAATATCTATCAAAATTGTCGTTAGAATTTCATTGAAATATATTTTCGTAGAAATTTCGTCATTTCTATGTATTGTTTGCCACAAAAAAAATATATATATATATAAATTAAAATAAAATAAATTACTTTATAAAGATTCAAAGCTTTGTTTACAATTATCTCTTAGCTTATTGTTGTAGCAGATAAAATATTTTAGTTTGATTAGCGGATTGTATCAGCGTAAATAACAAAATTGTATAGTTTTTAATATATTGTATTGTTTGTTATAACATATTACAACTATCTCTTAGCTTATTGCTTTGTTACATTGTATTGTTTGTTTTTAATATATCTTATCTTTTCAAAGTGCTGCTCTTTTAATTAATCTTTTTCAAAATTAGCATTTTTTTTCTCCAAATTAAAAGCTAATGACCAAACAAGCTAATTAATTAGCTGATTTTATTAATCAAAATGAGGTATAATATGTTAATTCAACATCAATCCACTAATAAACAAATGAGTCCAAAATAATGCTTGATATTGCTCCTTTAAAAAAGTAATACTATATGCTTAAAATTCAATCACATTGCCAGTCTAATCGTTGGACAGGTCCATCCGTTATATATTTCTTTTTAATAAAAATGTATGTTTATGCTGTGAAATATGATTCTTTTATTTATATATATTTTTAAAATATGACATTTCAATTTAAAAGTACAAATATTTATTAAAAGATATAATTGCTTAAGCATTAGGATATGCAATTAAATATATATCTTATATGGTCATCCATGCACTAGCATGATATGAAATTTGCTAAACAATGCTTAATTAGAGTCTTCTCATAAATTTGAGAGTAACTGCTCATGTTTTGCAGCCACTTTCATTGAAGTGACAACACTATCATTTATATTGGAAATGCTACGATCTCGTTATGGAACCATTCCGGCGGAGTTTGTAACCGGTAGATCATCTATTCATGACGGTTACATGATGATCTACCGGTGACAAACTCCGACGGAATAGTTCCGTAACGGAATCGTAGCATCTCCCAATAACATATATCAATATTATCATACCATTGTCCACTCATAACTCAACAAAAAAAAAGATAAAAATAGAAAAAGAAAAAAGAAACACATTGCCACATTGAGAAATTCCTATTACTGATCACCTATTAAAAAAATTGTTAATTTGCTGATTAATTTAGAAACCCAAACATAAATTAAATAGATAAATATTTTCGAAGAACAATTAATGAATAATTAATTACCACACACCAAAAAAAAAAAACTTTG